CAAAGGGGAAAAGTGTATTTTCCTTGGTGTTAGTGATCAATCCAAAGCTTACAGATTATACAATCCTTTAACCAAGAAGGTCATCATTAGCCGTGATGTAGTGTTTGATGAAGCAAGCACCTGGTCTTGGACAGAAAAATCTGGGCAACAGATTCTTGCAGAATTCGAAAATGGAGAAGATCTGACTGTGCATAACTCAGAAGGTCAAACACAGCAGACTGAAGGTTTAACTTCAGCAGATCTTGAGGTTTCAAGACAGACAGCTGAAGAAAGTTTGCCTATAGAAGTAGAGCTCAGTACTGGAGGAAGTTTGCCAACAACACCAGAACTGGAATCTGGAACTAGTTCCAGACCTCAACGCAAAAAGAGAAGACCAGCATGGTTCGAAGATTATGAGGTAACATATCTATCTCAAGATGATGTTCCAATTAATCATTTTGCTCTATTTGTAGATTGTGATCCATTGACATATGAAGAAGTTGTTAAAGAAGAAAAGTGGCAAAAAGCCATGGCAGAAGAAATTGGTTCTATTGAAAGGAACCAGACTTGGGAGTTGACAGATCTTCCAAAAGGGCACAAAACAATTGGTGTTAAGTGTGTCTACAAGACAAAGCTCAAAGAGAATGGGACGGTTGACAAATTCAAAGCTCACTTGTTGGCAAAGGGTTACAAGCAAGAGTTTGGCATTGATTATTAAGAAGTTTTTGCTCTAGTTTCAAGAATGGATACCATCAAATTGGTGATTGCATTGGCAGCACAGAACTCATGGTCGATCTACCAGCTTGATGTGAAATCTGCCTTCTTGCATGGAAATCTACAAGAACAAGTATTTATTGATCAACCTCCTGGTTATGTAAAATCTGGTTGTAAGCATAAGGTTTACAGATTGAAGAAAGTATTATATAGACTAAAACAAGCACCTAGAGCTTGGTATAGTCGAATAGATACTTATTTTTTGAAGGAAGGTTTTCAAAAGTGTCCTTATAAGCATACACTTTACATCAAATTTGCAGATGGAGGTAAATTGATTATAGTATGCTTATATGTTGATGATTTAATTTATCCTGGGAATGATTTTGGCATGTTGGAAAAGTTCAAGCAGTCTATGAAGGTTGAATTTGATATGACAGATCTCGGTTTGTTGCATTATTTTCTTGGTTTGGAAGTAGTATAGTCAAATTCTAGAATTTTTGTTTGTCAGAAAAAATATGTGCAGGAAGTTCTGGACAAATTTCAAATGAAGAACTGCAATTCTGTCACTACATCAGTTGATAAAGGTGTAAAGCTCGTGAAAGATCCAAGAGGCAGATTTGTGGACAACAAATAGTATACGCAAATTGTTGGAAGTTTGATGTATTTGACAGCAACAAGACCAGATATAATGCATGGCGTAAGTTTGATTAGCGGATATATAGAGCATCCAAAGGAGTTGCACTTGCAAACTGCTAAAAGAATTCTCAGGTATTTATGTGGAACTGCATATTTTGGACTATTCTACAAGAAGGGTGACTAGACAAATCTCGCAGGCTTTACAGACAGCGATTATGCTGGAGATCTGGATGACAAAAAAAGCAATTTTGGGTTTGTTTTTATGTTGGGATCTGGTGCAATTTCATGGTTTTCAAAGAAGCAGCCCATTGTCACTTTGTC